GTTCATGTTGCAGCTGTTGACAGCTAACGTTTTTCAGTGAGTCCTGCAGCAGCAGAGGAGTGCCACTTTCCCGTTCCCACCGGACCGCTGAGCCACTGCTGCAAGGGTGACAATCTGTAACAGTGGAGGTTGGAAAGATAAAATTGAAGTTGACATGAAAAGTGTGTGACAAAGAGATACCCATAGCTGAAAAGTCTGTGAGAAAGTTGTTCAGCACCTGGCTGATACCCAAGGGGAGTTGCATTATTATTTTCATTGAAGAAGGCTGGTGAACACTCCTCAGTAAATTCAAATGGCAGGCCTGCAATGAAGTGGAGCTGATGCAAGTTGGCACAGTTTCAAAATTCACTGTATGTTCTAGTTCAGTTAAGAGGTATTTCTGTTGCTTTATGCTTTTCGTGTCTTTGATCTGCAAGAGTAATACATAAGGCGTGATCTCTTGCAGTTACCATTGCAGTGTCAAATGCACTACACTGCTGTGGCCTGAGCACCTGTAATAAGATACCTGAATACCTGCAATTAGAAAGGCAAAGGTTGTTCTTGTCAAGCAGTCCAAAATCAAGCCACGCTGCTGATTTTACAGTAAGTTCAACAAGCTTTGTAACCAGCCAAGGAACATGCAACAAAGTGAGGCATTTTCAAAATTAGTTATGTCCAATGCTAGTTACAGCTTTTCTGGATCGTCACTTCACCTAAAAACACATGGGAACCCAGGCCTGAGCAGGGAAGTTATGTGCTAATTTTGACTAGCCAGCTTAATTAACATGGCTATATTTCCTATTACCTGGAGCTCCTGAAAGCTCTTTGTTAAGCACAATGCATTACAATAATCCAATTTAGACATGACAAAAATTACTGTTCTTCTGCCAAGGCATCTATTGAACTGAAAACTGTCATTCCCAAAGTAAGGGTCACAACGTGCACTTCCGAGCCTAACAGTAGTGTGATTATTTTTACTGGTGTAATGAGGCTGATGAAAGTGGGACTTACTGCCAGAAACAAGCTGAGGAGATTTTTATGGGTCTGACTAGACTATTCTGAGCAGGAGCACTTGCTCTCCAAGTCCTGTCCTTTCTCCAACCCCTGTTTTGGACCTTAGAGAAGATTTTTTTAGGAGGATGAGAAAATATTTTCAAATGTATTCTATTTATCTCAGTGTCTGAATCTGCTAAATTTTAGTTCAGATTAATATTTTCTTCAGCTCCTGTGATAAATATGGGAAGTATTAGAAAAGAAATCTGTAGGCTCCTAAATGGTTTCCAATGGTTCATTCAGACAGCACATTCATAACTAGAGAAAAAAAAAAAAAGCGGGGGGGGGGAAGAGGGAACAGGGGGGGGGGGGGGGAAGAGAGAACAGGAGGGAGGAGAGTCTTTAGGCTATACACTGCCCATTTTACCCAGCGGTCAGAACATTTTTGTGGTACATAATTAATGCTATTTTGTTGGTGAAGAATTCTGTGTTGAAGAAAATTTCTTAGCCTGCTTCCTACCTTCTAGTGCTAGAATCCTTAGCATATTTTTAAGTTAAACAATGTTCCCCCTTGGATTCTGAACAGTGAGTTACAGAAATCTTATTTGCAGATAAGCAATTGGCATTTATTCTCTTTTTATCTTTTACTTCTCTGTTCAACACCCATGTCATAGAGCACAAGGACAGTTGACTGTTTGCTATTTCAGTTTTTAGAAATTAATAACTTCAGTAGTATTGGAGTTCAGCTGTTACTTTATGCAAAGAGGGAGTCAAATTTGCTAGAGATCAAGTAGTAAATTACAAATTAAATAGTGGTCCTGGAATGCATGGGCATCGCCTTTGACTGTGACTGCAGATTCAGTGAGATGTCTGTGATGTACCTACAATTAAACCTGTACATGAATGTCTCTGAATAAAATTAAAAGTACTAAAGCATTTCAGCATAACATAAGTAAGTATCACCCCACCTTTTTTTGACATCTTAGCAACCTTTTATCATATGCTGGGTACTTAATCACTGTCAGCTCCCAATGCTTTCCTTTTCAGTAAAGAACAGTGATGTTATGCAATGTTACTATGTAGATCATGCTCTGTTTTTTCTAGTCCTATTTTAAAAAAATACCTCTAAGTAAAACTACATTTTTGGTGATGCTAAGTCTTCCTCCAGCAGTTAACATTTTCTCTATATTTATGTGACATGACTTTATGTTTCGTGGTTTTGGCAGATGGAGGAATTATTTTCTACACATTTTTCCTGTGGTGAAGAATTTACAGGAGCTAGTTTAGCAATAGAAAGCAGAGGAGGCTTTGATTTGTTTACCTAACATATGTGTCACATATAAAAGGTAATGTCCTTCCACTGTAGTTAATAACTAGCTGTTCCAAATGGATTTGTGCCAACACAAAATCCACCACCACAATTAGCAGTAACAGGAACTTCAGCTGGCAGCAGCAGTGAAGGCAGTAAAGATTAAATTACTATGGGAACCATCCCTCCAAATTAAAACTATTGTACATTGGCAAAAAAAAGTAAGAAAACTTACAGAACTGTCACCCCTTGCACTGTGTTCTACTCTGGTAATAATTAGAGAAGATACTGCTGTCTGGGACTTACTATTTAGATTCACCCCATTCATTACAAGAATCTGAGTATCCGTACCAGCAAAACATCTTGAATTACAAAAACCTATAGATTCCTTCCAAAATACTTGAGGATACAAATAACCTTTGAAGAAGGTTGATTTTTAGAGGCATTAGTCAGTAGGTGTCTGTTGCTGACTTCTAGCTGGTGTTGCACATGTACTTCCAAACAGTCTGCCTGGAAATTCCACTAAATTACATCCAAGGAATTAATTTTTTTCTACAAAATCTCTGCAAAATAGTATTCATGGTAATACTTCTACAGCATAGAATATGGTCTTGGTCTAGATCAGGCTGTCATCAGAACTGCAGTAACAACAAACCCTCCCCCTTCTCATGAACCATGGCCGAATTATGCTCACCCCTGTACAAACCAATTAATTTAAAAATCAGTATAATGAGGATTTGAGTATTTTATTGTACAGTGTTGACTGATAGAATACATTATAGATAGCCCGAGTTTCTTTAGAATGATTCACAGTTTATTGTCTCACAGTGTCCAATATGTGACATACTTTCAAGATACAAATTATTTTCCACAGTTTAAATTAACCTCTAGCAATGCACTAGAGCACCTCAGAAATATTTTAGGCTTAAGAGTTGTCCAAACCTAACCTTTGAATTCATTAACACAGTAAAACATGTGATTTGTAGGCAAGAGTGTGCAAAAAGCACAGCTGTTAACCATTTGCAGCTGCAGTTATGTTGCAGCACCAAGACTGATGCATCTTTGTAACACTCCGTCGTATCTTAAACTCTGGGTTTGCATCCCGTGCTTTGTATGTAGTATGGACAGAATTAAATCTTGCAAGTCAATCAAACATGTCAGTCCTCTCCTGCTCTTTCTGAAAGCACAGGGCAACCAACAGACAGAAGCTTTTGCAAATGTACAGTGAACACCATGTAGTTCTGTCAGTAACTTTACAGTGTGCATGAATAGGTAAGTGCCAAAATTATGCACATGAATTTGGACACTCTTGCTGTAAATTTTTCAGGACTAGAGCAATTGCTTTACTGTTGACAGTTAAAAGCTTCCATGTACGTAGATGCTTGGTGCCATATTCTGACAGTGGTTAGACATGCCAGTGATAATAGTTTGCCAGGAAGCAAGACTAGTAAATAAAAAAATTTAAAAAAAAGCCAAATCCAATTAAAATATATCATCAGGTAAATGTGAGTTTGGGCAGCAGGACAGAATTATTCACTTTAAACTTCTCTTAAGACTCAATGTAAACACCTCTCTCCATGAGAAATGTTACCTGTTACCAGCAACTGATGCTAAACTGTGCATCTAACCAGTCAGGTGCACCAGCAGCACATCAGGAGACACTGGTTCTACAAAGTATTACTGACACAAATTAGATGCGACTTCCCCAGTACTAACCTGATGAGTGCCTAAGCACTGGGCTAGCCCAGTGGACAGTTGTTTGTTCTAGCTCAGGGAAGCTCAATGTAAGGTGTAACTGCTGATGCAATTTGCCTGCTGTATGGGAAAGATGGACAGAGCTCCCAGGCAGCTGGAACAATCTCTTTAAAGAACTGGACTCATGCAGGGACAGTAGAAAGAGACAGAAGGACATACGTCTTACTGCTTTTGAGAAGTGAGTTTATGGATTAATCTAAAGAGAATGTGTCCTATGAAGATGAATTTATAAAGCAAATGCAGTAAGTCCAAGTTTTTCCACCAAGACATGATTGCTTTTTAACTTCATGAATAGCAAATAGGGAAAAATAATGGAAACACATTAATTATAACACAGTAAAATGAACAAGAAAACTTTTAACAGCACTGAAGGCCACCATACACCATGGAAGCCTACAATTCTTTCAAACAGCCTTGCCAGCCTGCTTTGAACTTCTTGAAACCACTGGAAGGTATCTACAGGCTTGTGAGTAGATTAGAAAAATTATACTGCTCCCAGAAGAGAAAAGAAAAAACCCAAACCAAAATAAAACCCAAACCCCTGCATTTGCTTAGTGGCTGTAACACAAGATCTTCAGGCCAGGAGAGGACTTAGAGTAGAACATTGCAGGCTTCAGCTTATCACGATAGACACGAGACATCTATCTAACTAAAGACATTGTATAGAGGCCTGTTCCTGCCAGAGCTGACAAGAACCAGATTGAAGATGAACAATAATATGAAGGGTCAAGTCACCCCTTGAGCTGCTGAAGTACAGTGTTGACAAAAGCAGGGTTTACTTCTTAAACAGACTGTCTATTAAAGAAAAGGACACAGGATACTCCCAATTAATCTTGTTCCAGAACTTTATCACATGTAAATCTGCATAGTCTGTATATAACGATTTGTACAGTGAAAAAAGGTCAGTATAAAAATACTGCTCTCTCATTCTTTATCCATCCTATGAGAAAAGCACAGTTTATTTTAACAGGAAATAATACTTTATTATAAAATCTGAATGTAAACAAGTAACAAATTAATTGAATAATGGTTAATGGAAGTGCAAATGAACTTAATAAAATGATATCTGTTCTGTATTTAACTATATATATATAATTTGTTTTCTCTCATTCTAACATGGTTCTACTCCCCCCTCCCCACATTTAAGTTTAAAAAGATTTATCACTGGTTGTTTTATACTAAAAAGAGCGTACGAGCCTGCGTACAAGTTTTAAGTTTTGCTCTGCAAAAGAGACAAGTCTATGGTGATACTTATCATCATCCTTTCTTATCTTTGCACCTCTGGTATCCACAGGACAAGAGGATATATCACATATGTACACAGTGAAAATGTGGGCATGTCAAGCCACTTATGTAAAGTTAGTTCATTTACTTGCACACATTGAAACTTAAACCATTTATCAGTGAAGCAGACATTGCAGTGTAACTTCCAGACTTGCTTGTGCACCTTAAGGCATTAACGAGAGTCTCAATTGATAAGTCATTCTTGTTATCACCATGAGGATCATCTATATGCTTCTTGTAACAGTCAAATGCTTGTTCATCACCCACATGCAACACCTGGCGTTGATGAAAGCTTCTAAAGCACAGATAAGTCATGACAAGACTTTGATTTTGCTTTGAAAGCCATCTTCTTATTGTTCTTTGCCACAATTCTTCCAAGGAATCGCTTTGCCTTTTTGCCTATGCTTTCTCTTCTTTTTGTGTTTGCCATTCTCCTTGCATTGTCTTCTTTACTGTCTTTGCGAAGTCTAATTTGCCGGACGATACCTTCAAACAGGTCCGTGACATTATGATGAAGAGCAGCTGAGGTCTCGATGAATTTGCAGTCGAACACAACAGCACAGGCCCTTCCCTCTGGATAGAAAGAAAAAAAAGGGAGATGAGTGGAGATGGAAATTTTCTCTTCATATATACCAGCAGAAAAACAAAACAAAAATTGACTTAAAGTAAGGAAAGTGCCTTCAATGCCACAAAAGATCTTTACTACATGTTAGGAAAGTCCAAATTGGGACTCATGGTTTTGCCCCTTTACTCTTCTTGGTTTTGTTGTGGTATGGTCAGATATCTCATTATACCAATGGTACTGAACATAAGGCAACAACAGTCCTCTAGGCAGGCCATCCCAGTATTGTTTGGGAGCTAAAGCTAATAAAGGAGAGGCACTTGGATGCATGCTTGCTGTTTGTAGGAAACAGTGTGAGGTACAGAAAGAAATGGTTTTTATTTCTTCTGGAAGTTGTTGAGCAATTATTTACCTCTGCCTTGCTGTAACAAGTGAGAGTTTTCCATGCTAGCTACACATGAAGCTGATATAGTCCACAAGGTCAAGTCATTGAGCAGATCGCTAGAGGTCATGAAGTTGTACACCACTGCATTCGACTAGGAATGCATTCAAAATGCAAGAGGCTCAATATTCCAGACATAAGCACGTAACTCTGGAACATTGCTGCAGTGCAAATTTCCATGTTCAGCTTGTGGTAAATAATGGTAGAGTTGTAAACCTGAGCAAAGTACTGATGTCACAACTAGGACAGATCAATGATAGACTGAAACCAGCCTGAAAAAAATTAGTCTCCTGGTGAACTCCAGTCAATTCCCTGCTCAGGCATTTAACACAGGGAACGAGGCAAAAAACAGACAGCAAGAGATGGGTCATCATCATCAAGGCACCAATATTTCAGAGTATTCTTCTCAGTGAAAAAAAAAAATATAAAAACCAACAAAAAACAAATCGACTAAACATTTAAATAAGCAAAATTATTACTGTGGTGTTGGCAGTGGTTACTGTACTCGAGTTACCAAGATGTTATCTGGAACTAGCTGAGAAAATTCTCACTGATCACAACTGGAGAACTTACACAAAAAGAGTTTATGTGAGCCTGGTCTCACCAGCCCAGCTCAAATATGACGGAATCACTTCCAGAAGAAAGAGGATTGTACAGGCTGTATGGGATCACCCTTTTCAAGGGCTGCCTGGGTTCTACGACATGGCACTCCTGTCCCTTAAAAAGCAGAGCTCAAGCTGTCAAATCGTGAGATTAGCAAGTGCTGCTGCACACAAAACATAATACTGACGAAAAAGGAATCCTACACAAAACAGCATGCTAAAGCTGCAGCTCTGATCCATTTTTTTCTCTTGTACTGCAGTTCAGAACATTGCTCTGCGCAGTCACAAATCTTCCTCCACCATCATCTCTACTGTTTTCTGTGGCACCAAGTCCCTCAGCATGAACCAGCTGGCTTGATTTCTCCAGTGTGCCTCAAATCACACATTTTCTGCACCAAACCCAGACCATTTCTATTGGCCATGATCCCCCATAGCCTTTGCTACTAATTCAGACATTACTATATAAATGAATAGTGTCTCTTACCATCAACTGAGACTTCCCGGGACCTGACCAGGTCGCTTTTATTGCCCACAAGAATAATAGGAATGTCTTCTGTTTGCCTTGCTCTTCTTAGCTGGATTCTTAGCTCGGAGGCCTTTTCAAAACTAACTTTGTCTGTCACTGAATATACAATAATATAGGCATCTCCCATTTTCATACAGTGGTTCTGAAGCCATTGGCTGTCATCCTAAAACAAAAGGCAAGAAATAGATTTATTGCACTGAAAAATCTATTCAACACTGTCTGATCAATGATTTAATTATTGTAAGCACTTTAAAAATCTTGTTCTTAGTTTTATTATAGAGAGTCAGTAAGAGTAAGCCAACCTCCCCCCCCTTTTTTTAAAAAAAGCAAGATTTTGTTATTTTAAATGTATTACAAAACAAAATTCTCTTGTTTCCAGAAATAATATCAGGTCTGCACCGATCAGATGGTGAATCTCTAATTTTACAGCAATTCCCTGGGCTGCTCGTATAAGCTGCTGCTCATTCAAAGCATTAAGGGATTCACACTCCAGCCCTATTCAGGTTTTAAATTGCGTGCTTAGCTACAAGAAACTAATTGCAGGAGAGAACAAAGGCAGTATGAATCCTAATTTTTTAATGTCGGTATTTTAATGTTACTCATCTGATCGAAGAAATAGCCAGACATAGTTGTTCCATTTCTACTTTTTTAAAGAGTGACCCACGGACCGAGCCATTAAGAAAAGATAACTGAAATCTCTAAGTACCTGCTCCCATATATCAAACACCACCAGAGACGCTTCTTCTCCGTCCACTATGATTGATCTGTCGTACGTGTTTCCTACGGAAAAAAACAAACAAAAGTTCAGAAAGAAGCCGTTACTCCCCTC